GAGGAGTTATGTACCAGTCTATAGAGAAGAATATGCTGAACAAGGACTTTTGCCTCCACGTTCCTTTCTTATCAATTACAGTATTGATTTCATTTGTTCTTTACTTTGGTTTGTATAATGAACTTTGCAGTCAGTCTCGATTCAGAACTCATTCAATTAACATCATTGTATTTGGTTATTCTCAAAAATAAATCTTTTTTAAAAACGTTTTCGTTGAAGAAAGATATTTAAGTTATATATATGAACAGTAGTCATTGCCAAAGCCAACGACTAGTTGGGTACAAAATACAATTACTTGTTAATTGGGAAATTGGCAAAAATTTTTAGGCTTAAGTTGACTCTTTTGACGATAAAATCAATCTTTCGGCATTCTCTATGGAGCCATCATCAGGATTCTGAAAACACAATTGTGATGCTAGCAAAGAAAACAGGACAGATTTAAAATGTCAGACAACTTACTCGTCGGTGAGGTGGCAGCCACAAGGTGTTTCAGAAAGAACGTAGAGAAGATCGAACTTGTGTTCAGTATAAAAACAAAAGGAAAGGAAAGGAAAGTTTGACAGGTTACTAAGTGACACAATGAAAATTTTGCTGAACACTCATCCAAACGGGGTAAAGAACCTCAGTAATGTCAGCATTCCGGATGACATCACAAGTTTTCTATCGTTGGGTCCAAAATTTAGCATTGAACCATTTGTCAACAGTGACACCGCAATCAGACATATTCTGGCTGATGTTGATTCTATATCTTCTTCCATTATTGATGACACAGAAAGGAACATTGCGATAACTCGTTCCACCAATATTATCACAAATTACTTTCACAACAGTAGCATTAACAAAAAACACTCTTTCTACCACAACCTGCTAAATAAAACAAGGAAATTTATTAAGGATCATCCCGAGTTAATTGTTACAAAATCAGACAAAGGCAATGTTACCGTAATCATGTTAAGACAACAATATTTTGACCTATGTAATAATTTGATTGATAATGATCCCTCTTACAAGGTTATCAATAAAGACCCTACATCTAAAGTAGAGAAAGGTTGCAATGACATTGTTAACAAGCTACTCAGCACTGGTCAAATCAACCAAGACCAAAAGAAGTCCTTAATCACTTATAATTCTGTCTCTCCTAAATCTTATACTCTTCCTAAAATACACAAACGGGTACTGTCAGTAAGACCGATTGTAGCTTCTGTTGAATCAGCCACACTAGCTTTATCTTCATTAATTGCAGATACTCTAAAGTCAGCTCACATCAAAGGAGAATACTTTATAAAAGACTCGTTTGATGTTTGTCAACAATTTAATAGATTTCAAATACCCCCTGATCATGTTATTGCGAGCTTAGATGTAGTTTCACTGTTCAGCAATGTGTATTTAGAAGCTTGCATTAGATCCATCAACAAACATTGGGATCTAATTTGTCAACACAGCAACCTACTCTGGATTCTTTCATCAATATCGTAGAGTACCTTTTCCAGAACAATTACTTTACCTTTAGTAACAAAGTGTTTTCACAAACACATGGCAGAATATGTAATGGATGACCTGCTTGATGTTGTTATTCAAGTATTGCCATACAATCTAATTTTCATTAAAAAGTATGTGGACGATATAATCGTTTGTCTTCCTTATGATAGGTTTTTAACAGTTATGATCCTTACATCCAGTTCACCATCGAAAAAGAAGATGACAATCAATTTGTTCCCTTTTTGGATTCAAGATTGATTCGTATCAATGACAATATATTACTGGTAGACTGGTACAGGAAACCAATTTCTTCCGGAAGGTTCCTAAACTTCTGGTCTTACCATGAACTTAAAATAAAAATAAACCTGGTGAAACAAATGAAGAACAGGGTTATAAAATTCTCTGACAGTACTCTCCATCTTTCCAATTTAAGGAAGCTTTCAGTCTTATTTATCAACAATGGCTATCCTAAGTATTTGGTTAACAGAATCTTGTTCAGCTCTCCTCCGAATATTTTGCCAATCACTAATGACAATAGTGAAAATGACAACACGGGTCAATCAAACCAGGTACCCATTAATTCTTCAACTAATGAGAACAACACCACTACAGTGGTTGCTCCTATTTCCAGAGTTAACTATGTTGTCTTGCCATACATCAAAGAACTAACACCAAAATTGATCAGGCTGTATAATCCCTTTAATTGTCGTTTTGCTTGTAAATCAGTTCTCACAGTCAACAGATTGTTGTCCAAAATGAAAGATAAGGTTCAGTTGCTTGATTCAACCAATACTGTGTATCGTATTAATTGCCCTTCTAGGTCGCTGAAAGGCAGGATAACGTCACAAAAAAGTGATGCCAGATTGCATCCAGAAAGATGTGCTTTGGCGTCGCATATTAACAACACAGGTCACTCTATGAATTATGGCAGTATTGAGGTTCTTGATAAGGAAAAAGTCTCTCAAAACGTTTATTCTTAGAAATGTCCCACATTTTTATGACAGATCATTGCATGAATAAAAAGGCTGATGTTAAGCAGCTCAGTGTCATTTATTCCTACCTATTGAATTGCGAAAAGCTAGAACAACTACATGTCCAAATTGATCCAACATCTTCACAAAATTAGAATACATTTTCTCACTCACATTTTTAATATAAACTCACATAACCCATCTTTCCAAGGTTGTATCAATATCACACATTCTTGCACTCATACGAGCCACACACTCTTTTCCAAAACAAGTTATTCCAGAATTTTAGTAATTTTGGGTGGAGATTTACCGGGCGTCCCTCGTATACTTCATAGCCACAGTTGGACAGGGAGGTGTACATTTCCACGGTCCGTCGCGTCAATCACTTGTCATCTGTCGATGCATTACCGTTCCGTGCCTTCCCCCTCTCCACGTGTAGCGGTAGTAGAAGGATTGTTTCAACAAAATGCCTCCCCACGTGTAATATTTTTAACTTGTTCGGGTGTATTGATATAATTTTTATTTTTTCTTAACTTTTAACGAAGGTATCTGCCGTTTTTCAACAAGCCCAATGTCCCCGCCCTTTTGTTTTTATACTGAAAACAAGTTTGATCTTCTCTACGTTCTTTCTGAAACACCTTGTGGCTGCAACCTCACCGACGAGTAAGTTATCTGACATTTTAAATCTGTCCTGTTTTCTTTGCTAGCATCACAATTGTGTTTTCAGAATCCTGATGATGGCTCCATAGAGAATGTCGAAAGTTTGATTTTATCGTCAAAAGAGTCAACTTAAGCCTAAAAATTTTTGCCAATTTCCCAATTAACAAGTAATTATATATATATATAATTATATATATATATAATTATATATATATATACAGGGGGACTTCGAAGTTGAGACATTTATTTTAACAGTGAGTAGATCTGTTCAAAAGAAATGTGTTTTCCTTTAACATTTTTATGGTAAAATTAAAGTAACAAAGTCATAGCCCTTTAGAAGTTTGAGTACCGCCCTGTCCCAATAATAATAATAATATGTGCTCGTGTTTGGCAACGACGGATATAATCCGCCTTATCGGTTCATCGCATCGGAAACAAAAAAGCGAAAGAATTTGAAACGTTTATCATGATGTTTTTCGTCAGTCGGTAACGCGTGAGTGAATAGTGGTGTTTGTTGCGTGGCTCAAACGAAATAAAAAATGGCACATGTTTAAGAAAATGCTGAACTTGTGGACATGATTCTTATTTACGGGGGGGGGGGAGTCTTTACAAAATGCTGCCGCGGCATCACGGATTTGTGCGAATCGGTTTCCCAATCGAGTGCAACCAACCCCCGGATGGCATGCCGGTGCTCCAAGACCGCACGATCAAATACAGGTCCGCACTGAAATACTTGTCGGGATGAAAATTTATAAAACAGGGTAACATTTTTTTTTAATTTTTTTTTATTTTTACACACATATTTTGGTTCATCTTCCTTCTACAATCATTATCTGAAAATTAATGACTCAACTTCAAAGTCACCCTGTATATATATATATATATATATATAGCTGTAGTCGATGTAGACAACATCAGCTTGCCAGCCAACAAAGGATAGTAGATTAGTTTCAATTGAGCGCATAGGATCAATGATGATACGATGAACGGTCCCTAATATTATTTCATAAATTACCTTCTCCAAAAGCTTCGAAAAGATGCACAACTTGTTAATTGGCCTGTAATTCATAACAGAGCACTTACCTCCACTTTTGAGAATGGGCGTAATATGAGCAGTTTCCCATTTACTGCGATATGTACTCATAGCTAAAGACAAATTGAAAATCAGTTGTAGTGGGAGACAGATACTAGAAACACTTTTTTTTATGAATAGTGGAGGTATGTTCTCAGGCCCGGCTGACTTAGTCACGTCTAGAGAATTTATTAAATCAGTGGTTTTTTCAATTGATACCTGAAATATATTGTTTCTGGTAATATTATCTAAAATGGACATATCATTTGACTTAATGTAGACACTAGCAAAAGCATTACTTATTCCGGGACCGTCCATAGTTACATTGTCACCATACTTAACTTTATTAGGAATAGAAGAATAGTTTTTCCTTTTGGTAGAAACATATCTCCAAAACTTTTTTGTGTTAGTTATAATCTCTACCTCGAGATTCACAATATATGCATCACAGTCCTTTTTTATTAGTTCCTTAGATTTGGACCTTAATCTACAAGACTCATGATAAGAGCCTATGTCATTATACTTTTTGTACTTTCTATGATATTTGAGTTTTTCTTTAATTGTTTTTATGGTTTCAATTTTAAAATAATTAGGAAAATTATCTCTAACCTTATGTAAGTGCACAAATTTGTCAATTACTTCATAGAGGTTTCTGTAAAATAAATGAACGGCATCGTTAACAGACTTGTGTTGAAACAGCTTTTGCCAGTCCACTTTGGATAAACAATCGTTGATGCTAATAGTCGGCTTTGTTAAACTTACGGTAACTGGAGTTGTATTCTGAAAGTGCTTTATAGTGGTCACAGTGATGAACAAACGAGATGACTGGATGGTCGTCTTCTTCTACGAAACTATCGTCTGCCCGAGACACATCCTTGACTAAATCTTTGTTGCTGAGTATCAAGTCTAACAGTTTATTATTGAAGTTATGAATTGAGTTGAGCTGCATAAGTTCTAAAAGAGAAAACATGTCAATCAGACTGCTGGATTTTTCGTCAACTTGGAGAGGCTCTAGGAACGTATTATCATGTACTAGGGAACAGCTGACGGTTGGAAGGTTGAACTCACCCACCATCAGTACATTATGCTGGTGAAATAATCTTTTATTAGATTCCAGTGAACTCACGAAAGATGCATAAGCATAGGCATCGTTAGGCGGTAGATAAACACAACACACATATAACTTATCATCATTTTTTCCATCTATCACTATCCACACATCTGCAGCTCCCGATTCCAGCTGAGGACAACGTCGTGAGCTGAGTGAGGTGTTCACGGCAATCAGAACACCTCCTCCATCCTTTTTTTGTGAAGCGTAACTTGCTCTGTCCCTGCTGAAGATCGAGTATCTTTCATTGAAAAGTTCACTGTCGCAAATACCGTCTTTTAGCCAGGTTTCAGTGAGACATATTACGTCGTGATTTGTTGCATAAATATTATGGTAGAATTGATTTGAGTTGGATCTCAACCCCTGGTATTCTGATAGTAAATATTGAGATTGGCCATGGAACAAACTGGACGGCTTATAGGTACACTTGTGCTGATAAACGCAGGATTACTTGACGTTTTTCAAAGCATCTGTGTTCTTGACCATAATGATTTTTGAAGTGTCATCCTTTCTGAGGAAAATACTTCCGTTCTTACACCAAACATATTTGAATCGGTTTTCCTTGGCAAATGCGCGGGCTTCCTTATATAAGACCTTATTTTCGATAATTAGGTGTTCTTTGATGTACAATTGGTCGGAGACACCTTGAATCACCATCTTTGGCGAACCTCTCTCACGCTGCAAGCGCTTGGCTTTCGCAGTGATCAGAATGTCATCCCTATCTTTACGGGAAATAAATCGGACTATAATATTTTTCATTTTATTTACAGAATCCTTGCTGGTCGGCACACGATGAATGTATTTAACCTTATCCAACTGTACTTTGTAGTTGACATTCTGTTTTTCGGGGACGCCCTGTATTTCTATGTTATTAAGTCTAGAAATTTGATCAAGATTGTTGACTCTAACTTTGAGCGACGAGACCTCCAGTTTGAGGGCACCATTTTCTTCTTGCAGTTTTTCAGTTTTCTTGATGTAATGGTCGAATTTTGACAAATGTTCCTCAAAATCGGAGACTTTATCACTGCAAAAAGTCTCGGTGATTATAAGAGAAATTTGTTGTCCTTGTTGTTGCCTGATTTCTGCGATCAATTCTTGCATTCTGGCCGATACTTCATCATTACCGCCAGCAGCAACCGACCCAAAAGTAGTGGACGTCTTAGATGGTTGAATGGCTTCGACGAACCTCCGGGAAATTCAAGCATGCCTTCTTCTAACAGTGAATACACTTAACTATGAATACTATATATTTACACTGCCACCCAAAATTACGCGGACAAACAAAATTTTGTTCAAATTAAATTTTAAATAACTTTTTAGCCTTTGCATCAATTTCGTTAATTTTTTCGTCAAGTTGTAGGTAATTTCATTGTCATCATTATCGACTGTTGATCTTGCAAAGAAATTGAAAATGTTTGTTGTTATATAGGGTGTAACTAAAAGGTGCATTTTGTCCTAAATTTCTGAACACCCCGTGGAAACATTTGATTTCTGCATATGTGTCTTCGTATGAGAATTTTAAGCCTCAACTTTTCTCAAAAGTTCTTTTCTGATTCATGTCAATATCTCAATTATTGAAGAATATGTGCTGTTTTAAAGAAAATCTTGCGAATCATAGCCATAAACAAGAAATCGTTTCAAGCCGACTTTGCCGGGTAAGAAACTGTTTCAAGTAGGATGTGGCTGTTAGCATTTTCATGACATGTCAAAAAGATTCTTGTCAAGCAAATCTCAACAAAAATGACACCGGAATAAGTAGCACAAGCTGTAGCTTTACAAGATGATGGTCGTCCTATTCGGTATATCGCAGAAAGGCTTGCCGTTCCACGTAGTACGATATTCGATGCGATACGAAGATTTAGAGAAACTGGTTCTTACTCAACGTAGTTGAAGATCTGTTTCTGAGACTTCAAGCTTTCGAGAAAGGACAGTTCCTGCTACAGGTTTGACTCGAAGATTGGATGATGTTCATGGTACCATAGTTTCGCGTGATTCCGTACGCCGAAGGTTGAGAGAAGGAAACCTATCATCTTGTGTACCTGCTACAGGTTCTATATTGGATGTAGGTCTTGTTTCGCTACCAGGAGGACACCTTACTGCCGACAGGTACATTAGAGAGTGTTTGGAAGAATATGTGGTTCCTCGTATGCTCTTTATAGGAGAACATTTTCTCCTAATGCAAAATAATGCTCGGCCGCATATAGCCAGAATGACTAGGCAATACCCCAACGATGTTGGAATTCAAGTATAGTACTGGACTGGCCGTCAAGGAGACCGGATCCCAATCTCATTGAGCACATGTGGGATACATTAGGAAGGAAGAAAAAAAACGGTGGAGAAAAGTTGATGCTTAAAATTCTCATACGAAGACACATTATTCAGAAGTCCAATATTTCTACAGGGTGTTCAAAAATTTAAGACAAAATGCACCTTTTAGCTACACCGTGTATAACAACAAACATTTTTGCAAGATCGGCAATCGATGATGATGACAGTGAAATTACCTACATCTACGACGAAAATATTAAAGAAATTGATGCAAAGGTTAAAAAGTTATTTCAAATTTAATTTGACAAAATTTTGTTTGTCCAGTGAATTTTGCGTGGCAGTATATATATATATATATATATATATATATATAACAACAAGTAGGAAAATAATGGGCAAAATCCGCAAAAAGGAGGAAAGTGGATTCGAGCAGAAAATAGGATAGGTAACCCGAGCGATACGTATTTCTGCTGGGTGGCTTCATCAGGCCCGAAATGAATGCACATGTGAAACTACAAACGTGGATACACATGCACAGACATCCGGATACGGGTGTAACCTGAGGAAACGAAGTTGGAGGGGGAAAAAAACGACACACGAAGTCCACAACAAGAGCCAACGTACACATTGTAGTATAAAATGGCTATACGACCTCGAATTTTCAAGGAGACGTCTAACCACCACCACGCGGCCGGTTATAGCCTCAGGTTACACCCGTATCCGGATGTCTGTGCATGTGTATCCACGTTTGTAGTTTCATATGTGCATTCATTTCGGGCCTGATGAAGCCAACCAGCAGAAATACGTATCGCTCGGGTTACCTATCCTATATATATATATATATACTCGTATATATATATATAGGTGAAAAATTAAAGCTTCCGCCTTTTGTTGGGTACTTCGACAAAATTTGAGCAAAGAGGACTCTCTATACTTTTTTAATTCTCTCTAGCTTTCAATGGACTTTGCCATCATCATCAGGAGCTGCAATTACAATGATAACAGTAGCAGCAAAAGTGTAAAATGAATTTAAATTGAATCAACTTACGTTGCCAAATCACTTCAGATGATGTTTTGGCACACGCCCACAATTCGTTCCATCTTTCAACACAGACATTGACAACCTTCGGCCTTCTGTCAAAGGTTCATCTCACTCATTATTCCATGACCACCATTTTGTGCAATCATCAAGTGGCTTCACGACGTATTGCTCTAATGTTTTCTAAATAATTTTTAATCTGTCTTTAACTTGTCTTGTCATATTTTATATAATTTTAACCATTGTACCATGTATCCAGCTCTCACGATGTTACTGGACGTTTCCCTCATCCTATACGAAAACAACAATTAGCAACATCCTCACATACTACTGTAAGTTGATTCAATTTAAGTTCATTTTACACTTTTGTTGCTACTGTTATCATTGTAATTGCATCTTCTGATGATGATGGCAAAGTCCATTGAAAGCTAGAGAGAATTAAAAAAAGTATAGAGAGTCCTCTTTGCTTAAATTTTGTCGAAGTACCCAACAAAAGGCGGAAGCTTTAATTTTTCACCTAACTGGTCTAGACGACAATGACCACATCTCAAGTTATATATATATATACTGTCACGCAAAATTCACTGGACAAACAAAATTTTGTTAAATTAAATTTGAAATAACTTTTTAACCTTTGCATCAATTTCTTTAATATTTTCTTCGTAGATGTAGGTAATTTCACTGTCATCATTATCGATTGCCGATCTTGCAAAAATGTTTGTTGTTATACACGGTGTAGCTAAAAGGTGCATTTTGTCTTAAATTTTTGAACACCCTGTAGAAATATTGGACTTCTGAATAATGTGTCTTCGTATGAGAATTTTAAGCCTCAACTTTTCTCCACCGTTTTTTTTTCTTCCTTCCTAATGTATCCCACATGTGCTCAATGAGATTGGGATCCGGTCTCACTGACGGCCAGTCTAGTACTATACTTGAATTCCAACATCGTTGAGGTATTGCCTAGTCATTCTGGCTATATGCGGCCGAGCATTATTTTGCATTAGGAGAAAATGTTCTCGTATAAAGAGCATACGAGGAACCACATATTCTTCCAAACACTCTCTAATGTACCTGTCGGCAGTAAGGTGTCCTCCTGGTAGCGAAACAAGACCTACATCCAATAGAGAACCTGTAGCAGGTACACAAGATGATAGGTTTCCTTCTCTCAACGTTCGGCGTACGGAATCACGCGAAACTATGGTACCATGAACATCATCCAATCTTCGAGTCAAACCTGTAACAGGAACTGTCCTTTCTCGAAAGCTTGATGTCTCAGAAACAGATCTTCAACTGCGTTGAGTAAGAACCAGTTTCTCTAAATCTTCGTATCGCATCGAATATCGTACTACGTGGAACGGCAAGCCTTTCTGTGATATACCGAATAGGACGACCATCATCTTGTAAAGCTACAGCTTGCGCTACTTGTTCCGGTGTCATTTTTGTTGAGTTTTGCTTGACAAGAATCTTTTTGACATGTCATGAAGATGCTAACAGACACATCCTACTTGAAACAGTTTCTTACCCGGAAAAGTTGGCTTGAAACGATTTCTTGTTTATGGCTATGATTCGCAAGATTTTCTTCAAAACAGCACATATTCTTCAATAATTGAGATATTGACATGAATCAGAAAAGAACTTTTGAGAAAAGTTGAGGCTTAAAATTGTCATACGAAGACACATTATGCAGAAATCAAATATTTCCACGGGGTGTTCAGAAATTTAGGACAAAATGCACCTTTTAGTTACACCCTATATAACAACAAACATTTTCAATTTCTTTGCAAGATCGACAGTCGATAATGATGACAATGAAATTATCTACAACTTGACGAAAAAATTAACGAAATTGATGCAAAGGCTAAAAAGTTATTTAAAATTTAATTTGAACAAAATTTTGTTTGTCCGCGTAATTTTGGGTGGCAGTGTAAACATATAGTATTCATAGTTAATTGTATTCACTGTTAGAAGAAAGCATGCTTGAATTTCCCGGAGGTCCTTCGAAGCCATTCAACCATCTAAGACGTCCATTACTTTTGGGTCGGTTGCTGCTGGCGGTAAAGATGAAGTATCGGTTAGAATGCAAGAATTGATCGCAGAAATCAGGCAAGAACAAGAACAACAAATTTCTCTTATAATCTCCGTGACTTTTTGCAGTGATAAAGTCTCCGATTTTGAGGAACAGTTGTCAAAATTCGACCATTACGTCAAGAAAACTGAAAAACTGCAAGAAGAATATGCTGCCCTCAAACTGGAGGTCTCGTCGCTCAAAGTTAGAGTCAACAATCTTGATCAAATTTCTAGACTTAATAACATAGAAAAACAGAATGTCAACTACAAAGTGCAATTGGATAAGGTTAAATATATTCATCGTGTGCCGACCAGCAAGAATTCTGAAAATAAAATGAAAAATATTATAGTCCGATTTATTTCCCGTAAAGATAGGGATGAGATTCTGATCACTGCGAAAGCCAAGCGCTTGCAGCGTGAGAGTGGTTCGCCAAAGATGGTGATTCAAGGTGTCTCCGACCAATTGTACATCAACGAACACCTAATTATCGAAAATAAGGTCTTATATAAGGAAGCCCGCGCATTTGCCAAGGAAAACCGATTCAAATAAGTTTGGTGTAAGAACGGAAGTATTTTCCTCAGAAAGGATGACACTTCAAAAATCATTATGGTCAAGAACACAGATGCTTTGAAAAACGTCAAGTAATCCTGCGTTTATCAGCACAAGTGTACCTATAAGCCGTCCAGTTTGTTCCATGGCCAATCTCAATATTTACTATCAGAATAC